TTAGCCTTAAAGGAACACTATAGTCACCTAAATTACTTTAGCTAAATAAAGCCGTTTTAGTGATCATTCCCCTGCAATTTCACTGCTCAATTCACTGTCATTTAGGAGTTAAATCACTTTGTTTCTGTTTATGCAGCCCTAGCCACACCACCCCTGGCTATGATTGACAGAGCCTGCATGAAAAAAAAAAACTGGTTTCTCTTTCAAACAGATGTAATTTACCTTAAATAATTGTATCGCAATCTCTAAATTGAACTTTAATCACATACAGGAGGCTCTTGCAGGGTCTAGCAAGCTATTAACATAGCAGGGGATAAGAAAATCTTAATTAAACAGAACTTGCAATAAATAAAGCATAAATAGGGCTCTCTTTACAGGAAGTGTTTATGGAAGGCTGTGCAAGTCACATACAGGGAGGTGTGACTAGGGTTCATAAACAAAGGGATTTAACTACTAAATGGCAGAGGATTGAGTAGTTTACACCAAAACTGCTTCATTAAGCTAAAGTTGTTCAGGTGACTATAGTGTTCCTTTAAATCTCAGTTTGAATTCTCACTTCAGTGAATAACCTTGATAGAGTGTTACTTGTCTTCCTTCATGTCAATCTATGGCAAATTACACGTCGAAGATAGATTTCTGAAATCATACAGTTAATAGAGGCTTTCTGTAACGAACCGCCTGTACCCAGAGTTCGTTGGAAGATCTCCCAAATTCCTGCAAGGTTCCTGTGAATATAGCTGTAACAAAGCTCCTTGTACTCCGACTGAGTACCCTCCGTTGATGGATGTTCCTAGCGCTTCCTGAGGACTCCAAGCGCTGCAGCAGACACCACAACCACCGCAGACTCCACAACCGCCGTATCTTGACTGGAGTCTCGCTGTCTTCCTTCCACCCTGGATCAGCTTCTGTCCTCCAGGACTGTGTTGGAAAGAACTCTTCCTTCCACCCTGTATGAACCTCCAGCATCCAGGACTGTGTGGTGAAGACCCCTCCTCCAAGGTGAGCGTGTCAGGAACAAGCTCTTAAAAGAGCTAAGTGACTCAAGATCAGGGGAGCATGCAGAGCATAGCAATCCCTAGTGTGATTATAACAGCTCCCTCCAATAACGAGACAAGGCTACATTTAGAGGGATCAAGAAGAACTGTCAAAACCTTTATTCCCTTGGGACCAGCCAATACAGTCACCTCAATAAAATCACAAACAGTCAAACCATATCAAGAAACACACAGTGACTTATCACAACACAATGGCACATTTTTAAAGGGGTGGGGGGAGACAATATTTAACAGTAAATATCTCACCTGCCTGCAGAATTAGCAATATGCAAATCTACCCGAATATGCAAATGAACCAGTCTTGCAATTCAGGTAGTGCATATTGCTGTTGCTACCAACAGAGGGCACTAGACCAGCTCCATAGCCAAACCCACCTAGTTGGTAGCAAACCTCAGCAATACAAGAGAGCAGGCAATACATTACACAGTACACACACACACTATAAACAATTACATAACACACACCCTGCACCTATAATGGGTACAGGGTGACTGAAACATAAGATAAATAAAGCAGCCCACAAAAATAGTCTGTCTGAAGGTAGACTAGGGGCTTTAAAGCCAGATAGATGAAAGAGTCATAGTCACAGGGGAGGAGGCTGGCAAGTAGGCCTCTCCAGGACCAAGTGGCGAAGGGCACTTTGTCACAATAGCGTTCTCCTCTATCGCACACCCAAACATCAGTGGAGACTTGGTGAAGGGTAGAAGTTTATTAAGGCCAAGTTGCCTGTTTATGTACACGAACCCCAGCATGGGGTCCCTATTCATACAGCAGTAAGCCCGCCCAGGCGTCTCTGTGTCTGGGAGATAAGTAAGTTTGCTTTTGCTTAAACTAATTATCTCCCAACCACTTGAGGTACAACACATAAAACACCCCAAAATGCATTTAAAACAGGTGGGAGCCCCCACAAGTATTATATCCCCGAATACCCCAGATCTGAGCGCCCAAGTTGTCCAAATAGCACTCAGATCCATATAGTGTAGGGGAATCACCACCAGGGTAAAATTTTGATCGACCGCCCACGTGGATGTTGCCCAAAATGGGGTAAAGGGTTATCGGCTGGTCAACTTTCGGGTGTTCTTTTGCCTATATAACAGAAGGCTTCCCCTGGCTCTTAGCGAGCTAGTACTCCCCTCAGTCAATAGTGTCTCTTCCCCCGAAGAGCTCTCCTGGCTTGTCTGTGAGAGGAGCAGGCAGCGGGGATTGCAAGGTAGAGTATCCAAAAATAGTTCCATGCACCGACGACCAGGTTCCTCTGCCTGTGTTCAAGAGACAAAATTGCCGCCAGTTACTAGAGCATGTGTGTTCGCATATGTGAATGGCAGCCACCCTGAGAGAGCACTTGAGTTCATCACTTCTTTGAGTTATTGAGCCAGGAGTGTGGTTGGTATTCGGTGGTAGGAAAGTACCGAACCACGGGAAAGTATAGTGCGTTTGGTTAAATCGGTTCAAACGGGGAAAGTTAAATAGGGGAGTTCTTCACACTTTCTCTTTGTAGAACAAGAGATTTTCAAAAAGCAAAAAAATATTTTTTACATTTAACAGCATTTGTTTTAAGTTTGCATTCCATTTAGCATTAATGTGTGACTCACTCTGAGTGCAGCCGTGCAAGAATTCCTTGAACTCCTGTCAATGCGCCTGAGGAGGTATTTAATATCGGGAGCAGACATTGTCAGGTGGTACAAATTAGTTTAAATTCCCCGAGTCAGTTATATGTTTACACATTGAGTTCCCAGCAATCCACACGTAAATAATCTGGTAAATACAGGCTCTATTAGTCTACATTGTGAAAATGTTTTCTGTTATCCACAATGTACTGTTTAGTGAATTTACCCCAGTGTTTCCAAATTCCTCCAGCCATTGTCAAGGGTTGAAGAGGAGTGATTTTTCCTGTTTGATCTGCAGTGAGAGTAAATAAACAAAACACTATCTCTTGGTTTTATCATGTTTGAAGTGTAAAAAACGCCCACGCTAACAAATGTTCGGTAAATTAAGTAGTACATCGTGTTACAGGTTCTGTCATTGCATAATGTAATGTTTTTCTAAACCAGTAACAATCAAAGACAAAAAAACACCATGGGCATTTATTTACTAAACCTGGAACAAGCAAAATGCAAAGGCATCACTCTGAGCACCATAACAACTTCATCCTGTCTCAACCTTCGTTTTGAATAAGGTTCCACTCCAGAGATAAAAACCTTTTTACTGTGATTAGGGCCGCCTCACTGAGTTCTCAGCTGGTGTACTGTCTTCCTTTCCACCAATAGCCGTTTTGTGCAACTTTTGTCTTTGGCGTGCATGGACGGATTTGCCAAAGGGCCACAGTGGCTTCAGTGCAGCGGCAGGAGAGGGGTGGCATGGCCGGTGAGGTAAATCAAAGATCAATGATCTCCCTATCATCCAGCTCATTCTCCTGCTGTGTTGCGGAGGCTGTGGAGATTTCTTACTGCAGGGCTAACGCTTGAATAGAGGGAGGTGGCTCTCCCCATTTGTATTATGTTGGATAGTCGTGCCAATGCTCTAATACACTTCCTGACTTCGGCCTGAAGGAGAGGTCTGCGCCCACTCACATGCTGTCTCTCCCACCGGACCACCAGGAAACTCGATTCCTCCATCCCTTTCCCAATGTAAGCCTTGGGGGGGTGGGGAATACACTTTTATAGGGCCCTCGACCTCCACTGCAGTTGGAAATGTAACACCACAAGCAGCATACACACAGACAGACATACACACACTCTCCCAGCTCTGTCACACTTATTATCAAACCACTCCCTAGTCACATATATCATTCAATCTTAAATGCATGTAATGGAACACTCCAAACATTGTGTGTGTGCAGGGGATCATATGTCGCGCATACTCTGTGCCTGCATATTGGGCTCGGAGTGGTGTTAGGAAAGCTGGGACGGTCCGGGTATCAGTTTCACTGTCAGGGTTGAGATTTGCACGGCTATTGGTAGGTTCACAAACACACCACTATTTCACCATAACGCGTGTAATCACCCTATTTTCTTCTAGATCAGGCGGGTGGTCGCTGTGTGTGTCATTTACCTGGGGAAGAGATGGCAGCAGGATGCACTATGGAAAGAAGGCAGGCTGGCGAAGGCAGTGTTATGTTCTGGGCAATGTTCTGGGAAACCTTGGTTCCTGGCATTCACGTGGATGTTACTGTGACACGAACCACCTACCTGGAGATTGTTGCAGACCATGTACACCCCTTCATGGCAATGGTGTTCACTGATGGCAGTGGCCTCTTTCAGCTGGATAACGTACCCTGATACACTGCTAACATTGTCCAGAAATGGTTTGAGGAACATGACAAAGAGTTCAACATGTTGCCTTGGCCCCCAAATTCCCCAGATCTCAATCCGATTGAGCATCTATGGGATGTGCTGGAACAACAAACCCGATCCATGGAGGCCCCACCTCGCAGGGCTTAAATGATCTGCTGCTAATGTCTTGGTGTTTGTTCATTGGTGGCAGATATGACACATTTAGAGGTCTTGTGGAGTCCATGTATGGACATATCAGAGCTGTTTTGGCAGCATGAGGGGGACCAACACGATATTAAGCAGGTGGTTTAAATGTTGTGGCTGATCAGTGTGCAATGTGATTCTGCCATACTGATCTTAGTCTTACTTAGGATGAGTCATATTGTAACATTAATAAACAGATCAGCCCATAAAGGTGTAACCTGTGTTTGCAATGTGTGATCTGGCTTCAATTTATTCTCCACCTAAATTGAACCTATCATGGGTAGATTCTCACCACAACTACAATCAGCCTCATCCATTGGTTGGCTGAGCCTGATAAGAATTTTAGTCCACAATAGATTTATTTAGCAGATAATCAGTTTAATGAATATAACGTTTGTTTATATTTATCTTCCTAAATCTCAATAAAGCTTTCTGTGAAGCTTTGGAATGGAGATTTGAAAAGCATTTGATTGGACAAAAAGGGACGGGGTCTTCATTAGCGACAGTGGGCAGTCCTGCAGCTAAAGAAAAAATAGTTTTTTTGGCTTCGGAAATATTTGTGAACATTGTAAATTTGCAATGATTAAAGGGGCACCCTGGGCACCATAACAACTTCATCTAATGAACTTGTTATGGTGACAAAAGGTCCCTGAGTGCACTGTCAGCTGGCACTCTCAGCCAATTAGTGACTCCCGATTCATAAAACTACCTTTTTATAGACAGTTTTGTGAATGGGCAGTCACTATAACGCTGAGAGAGTCAGGTAGCTTCTCTCAGCCAATCTAGAGGGAGTTAAGATCAAGGCTGGAAGCTGACTGTGACGAAGTGCCCTTCGCCACTTGGTACTGGAGAGGCCTGCTTGCCAGCCTCCTCCCCTGTGACTATGACTCTTTCATGTATTTGGCTTTAAAGCCCCTAGTCTACCTTCAGACAGACTATTTATGTAGGCTGCTTTATTTCTCTTATGTTTTAGTCACCCTGTACCCATTATAGGTGCAGGGTGTGTGTTATGTAATTGTTTATAGTGTGTGTGTGTGTGTACTGTGTAATGTATTGCCTGCTCTCTTGTATTACTGAGGTTTGCTACCAACTAGGTGGGTTTGGCTATGGAGCTTGTCTAGTGCCCTCTGTTGGTAGCAACAGCAATATGCACTACCTGAATTGCAAGACTGGTTCATTTGCATATTCGGGTAGATTTGCATATTGCTAATTCTGCCATTGTGTTATAATAAGTCACTGTATGTTGCCTGCTATGATTTGGCTGTTTGTAATTTTATTGAGTTTTCATAGCATTGTTAATGTAATGACCCTATGGGCTAGTCCCAAGAAAAATAAAGGTTTAGACAGTTCTTCTTGATCCCTCTAAACGTAGCCTTGTCTCGTTACTGGAGGGAGCTGTTATAATCACACCGGGGATAGAAACATAGAAACATAGAAACATAGAATGTGACGGCAGATAAGAACCATTCGGCCCATCTAGTCTGCCCAATTTTCTAAATACTTTCATTAGTCCCTAGTCTTATCTTATAGTTAGGATAGCCTTATGCCTATCCCACGCATGCTTAAACTCCTTTACTGTGTTAACCTCTACCACTTCAGCTGGAAGGCTATTCCATGCATCCACTACCCTCTCAGTAAAGTAATACTTCCTGATATTATTTTTAAACCTTTGTCCCTCTAATTTAAGACTATGTCCTCTTGTTGTGGTAGTTTTTCTTCTTTTAAATATAGTCTCCTCCTTTACTGTGTTGATTCCCTTTATATATTTAAATGTTTCTATCATATCCCCCCTGTCTCGTCTTTCCTCCAAGCTATACATGTTAAGATCCTTTAACCTTTCCTGGTAAGTTTTATCCCGCAATCCATGAACCAGTTTAGTAGCCCTTCTCTGAACCCTCTCTAAGGTATCAATATCCTTCTGAAGATACGGTCTCCAGTACTGTGTACAATACTCCAAGTGAGGTCTCACCAGTGTTCTGTACAATGGCATGAGCACTTCCCTCTTTCTACTGCTAATACCTCTCCCTATACAACCAAGCATTCTGCTAGCATTTCTTGCTATTGCTATGCTCTGCGTACTCCCCTGAGCTTGAATCACTTAGCTCTTTTAAGAGCTTGTTCCTGACACGCTCTTCTTGGAGGAGAGGTCTTCACCACACGGTCCTGGATGTTGGAGGTTCATACAGGGTGGAAGGAAGAGTTCTTTCCCACACGGTCCTGGAGGACAGAAGCTGATCCAGGGTGGAAGGAAGGAACCGAGACTCCAGTCAAGCTACAGCGGTTGCGGAGTCTGCGGTGGTTGTGGTGTCCGGGGCGGTGGTCCTCGACGCAAGCTAGGAAGCATCCATCAACGGAGGGCACTCAGTCGGAGTACGAGGTGCTCCATTACACTGACTTATGGGGTAAAACCATTCTCCAACTGTAAGGTAAGAGTGTGTTCCCTGGTGTCTCCTGGCACCATAACAATTTCATTTCGATTACATTTTTATGATGTGCGGACTGCTCCTTTAATTCAAAATCCGTCTTACAGTATGAAATGTTGAATTAAGAATAACTAGGGTCAAGTCGTGTTTGTATATATTTACCCGGAATCTCTTGCTGCAGTGTAAGAAATGTTATAAAATTCAGAAGGAAATCAATGTTTTCACCAAACTGAATATTTTAAGTTATTGCACATTTTAACCCAAAATAGCCGTGGAATTTATGCAATTTAGCTAATTTGATTTAAATCTGCATTTTCCTTGTCAATTTTGTGTATTCTTTAGCTTAGTAAAAAACCTCCCTGAGTATTTTTCTCCATAATGTAAATATTTTATTAACGGGGCATTATGGAGATGTTGTGAGCGATCTCATGATAGGTTGATGTTGGAGAACAGAATGAAAGGTTTAACACAAGGTATTTTCTTGCTGGTGTTGTGAGTGCGTAGTTTGGTGACATATCCCAGGTTTCGCTGACCTTGGCTGGGTTACAGAGATACTATTTAACTGGCCTTGATCATTGGATACATGCTTACAGGTAACCGCAGGGCAATCACACAAAATCACACACTATTTCCTTGTAGAATCTGCTATTCATTTCTCAGTGAGCAAAAAGCACCAATCACGCGACCAATAAACTGCTGAGAATAGCGAGCAAAACACAGAATTCCAGCTTTAATCTGGCCTGGAGACAGACCGTCATAGAGTGAGTTCTACGAAACCATAGCTGGGTACATTTTAGTAAAACCGTAGCAAGAAGAATACGATTAATAAATCATATATTGGAAAATAAAGATACAGAGAGCTCGGAACGTCATATTTAATGTCCACAGAATTTTCTATTAACTCTATTAAATATCCTCTGCTGGATCGAGTGAGGGAACGTGTGTGGATACATTGTGTACAGATTGGGGAATGTGAAACGGACACCCAGGAGTAGGGTTACCGGAGCTTCCTGTGTTGGACAAAGCTCGCTTGGCACCTTGTGGTATTGAAATGGTGGAGGAAAGCCAATCAAGGAAGTTTCTCTGGAATGTCTCTTGGATTAATACGTTGTTTCCTTCATGCAGCGTGTGAATGCCACAAACTGCAGGGCATCGCTTTTCATGCACTGCCCATCAACATTAACAAGTGCTGTGTGTCCAGAAAAGCATGACAGATCTGCTACATGTACCCGGCCGGGAATCATGTTGTTGTTGTTGGTTTTTTTTTGTTTCTTTGCTCTGGTTCTAGTGACAAAACAAACAAACAACAATATACAGCTATTCGTTTATTCCCAAAACGTATCGAGATATTGGATAAATGATATATAATGCAATATAAAGCAAACAGGTTGCCTAAAGTCAGGACTGAGGTATATATGTCAATAACGCAAGGAATAGAGGCGTTTTAGGATCATCCTAATTCTATCACTTGATATAAGCACGGTATCTGGGTCCCTGATTTTTCTAGTGATAAGAGCTAACCCAATGTCATTTTTTACTTCACCATAGTTGGCTTTATATCAATACCCACACAGTACCAGCTTAAGGCAAGCCTAATGAAAGAAGTTCTCAGTGTATTTCGTACTGTTAGTGTGTGCATTACTGTAGTGCCATGGGATTGCCAAGTGCTTGTTTTACTGGTGAATCATGAACAGAAATATCGTAGTAAGTTGGAAATAATAAATCACTCAGTTACCTGACTGGCTTTGTAGTTGTTTCCATGAACATGAGCTAAAACAACGCAAACTTATAAATGGTATTTCTGAGGTTTCGCAATAAATCGTACCAATGCCATTGAGTCGAAACAAAACTGTAAAGCTATTGAATGACACTACTACCCTACCCCTACCTTTATTCTGTACCCTTTACCTCACCTAAACCTGAAAAATAAAGAATTTATTAAAAAAAAAAAAAAAAAACTTATAAATGGTATATATCATAAGGCTTTCACTATCTCAAGGTCAGGTTCTGAAAGAAGGTTTTGCTTCCACCAAACCATTTAACCCAGTACGTTAAAATCCATTCCGGTGGAATTAGTTTTGCGTTTTGTTTTGACACATCCATAGTAATGGTCTGGATTTAAAACTAGCTAGTGGCTCTAGAAGGGGGGTCATATAAACATACATATAATTGAACAAAACATATCTCAATAAAACGTGTTCTGCTAACCTTTTACCCAGTAAGAACCCAGCCAAGATTTCATCTTTTATAAGGAGCCAGAGGGTGGTGGCATTCATTCCACTTGTTACTTCCATATTGCACAGATGTTACTATATTCTTGCATGCACATGTTTCTATTCAGGAAAAATATGTCCAACTTTACTTGACTTTCTATTCTACAAGTCTAGTCTAATGGTTTATATGTACAAACAGCGGCGTACACACAATCCACGGGGCCCTGGTGCGAAACTGATCCATGCACCCCCCCCTTCACATCGCACAACTTCCAACAGACACACACACAGATACGCATACATACAGAAAAGCACACATACAGACACATACATACAGAGACACATACATAGACACATACATACATAGAGACATACACACACACACATAGACAGATACAGGCAGACACGTAGACAAAGACACACAAAGAGACAGGCACACATACATGCAGACAGACACACAGACATATACATACAGACAGACACACACACAAGACACACATACACACAAAGACACATACATATAAACAGACAGGCACACATACAGTTGCAAGAAAAAGTATGTGAACCCTTTGGAATGATATCGATTTCTGCACAAATTGGTCATAAAATGTGATCTGATCATCATCTAAGTCACAACAATAGACAATCACAGTCTGCTTAAACTAATAACACACAAAGAATGAAATGTTGCCATGTTTTTATTGAACACACCATGTAAACATTCACAGTGCAGGTGGAAAAAGTATGTGAACCCTTGGATTTAATAACTGGTTGAACCTCCTTTGGCAGCAATAGCTTCAACCAAACGTTTCCTGTAGTTGCAGATCAGACGTGCACAACGGTCAGGAGTAATTCTTGACCATTCCTCTTTACAGAACTGTTTCAGTTCAGCAATATTCTTGGGATGTCTGGTGTGAATCGCTTTGAGGTCATGCCACAGCATCTCAATCGGGTTGAGGTCAGGACTCTGACTGGGTCACTTTAGAAGGCGTGTTTTCATTCTGTTGTTGATTTACTTCTATGCTTTGGGTCCTGTTGCAACATCCATCTTCTGTTGAGCTTCAGCTGGTAGACAGATGGCCTTAAGTTCTCCTGCAAAATGTCTTGATAAACTTGGGAATTCATTTTTCGATTATAGCAATCCGTCCAGGCCCTGACACAGCAAAGCAGCCCCAAACCATGATGCCCCCACCGCCATACTTCACAGTTGGGATGAGGTTTTGATGTTGGTGTGCTGTGCCTTTTTTTCACCACACATAGTGTTGTGTGTTTCTTCCAAACAACTCAACTTTGGTTTCATTTGTCCACAGAATATTTTGCCAGTACTGCTGTGGAACATCCAGGTGCTCTTGTGCAAACTGTAAACGTGCAGCAATGTTTTGTTTGGACAGCAGTTGCTTCCTCTGTGGTATCCTCCCATGAAATCCATTCTTGTTTAGTGTTTTACGTATTGTAGATTCGCTAACGAGGATGTTAGCATTTGCCAGTGACTTTTGTAAGTCTTTAGCTGACAGTCTAGGATTCTTCTTCACCTCATTGAGCAGTCTGCGCTGTGCTCTTGCAGTCATCTTTACAGGATAGCCACTCCTAGGGAGAGTAGCATACAGACACACACATACACACAGACACATACACACATAAAGACACAGACACACACACAACACACTCTCTGCATGAGGACCTCCATCGTCAGATTTTTCCACTTAGGAAAGCATTGACTCAATGCTTTCCTATAGGGAGGTCTAATGCGCGCTGGGTATTTGCTGCGCATTCGCATTAGACCCCGCTCATCGCATGGCGGAAGAAGGGGCTGAGATTTGACCTAGCACTAAGCGACATCTGCGCTGGGATAAGGTAAGTAAAGGGTGGGGGGGGGGCGCAAGGGAGGGAGCAGGTAGAGGGATCGGTCGTGCCAGGAATACAGCTTTGTATTCCTGGCACTACAGTATCCCTTTAACTATCCAATGATAACAACTCTTGGCAAGTATAACCATGCACTGTCATACTAAATTTACAAATGTTAAATTCAGTCATGGACGTGTACAGTGATCTAGAGGTATTGCAATGCGACGTATAGAGTGATCTAGAAGAATGTGATGCAACATGTAGAGTGATCTAGAAGAACTGCGATGCGGCGTGTAGCGTGATCTAGAAGAACTGCTATGCGGTGTGTAGCATGATCTAGAAGAACTGCGATGTGGCGTGTAGCGTGATCTAGAAGAATTGTGATGCCACATGTAGAGTGATCTAGAAGAACTGCGATGCGACGTGTAGAGTGATCTAGAAGAACTGTGATGTGACGTGTAGAGTGAGCTAGAAGATTTGCGATGCAACATGTAGAGTGATCTAGAAGAATTGTGATGCAACGTGTAGAGTGATTTAGAAGAATTGCAATGCGATGTGTAGAGGGATCTAGAAGAATTGCGATGCAACGTGTATAGTGATCTAGAAGTATTGTAATGCGACGTGTAGGTTGATCTAGAAGAATTGTGATGCAACGTGTAGAGTGATCTAGAAGAATTGTGATGCGATGTGTAGGGTGATCTAGAAGAATTATGACACGACGTGTAGAGTGATCTAGAAGAATTGTGATGCGATATGTAGGGTGATCTAGAAGAATTGCGATGCGACGTGTAGAGTGATCTAGAAATATTGAGAACTTGCATAGCTACCCTTACTTGTCCTTCATATCAGATGGAGCATACCTGTTGGTCCAGTTAGAACCCATCACAATTCTCAGATTCTAAGACATGTCTTGAATGGATGTGAATATTTTGTGATGGTAACTCTTTAGAACTTGGTAAATCTTGTGTTGTATGAAAGGAATTAGAACTAGCATAGATATAAAGAGTACTGAGAGAAATAGAAGGGATGGAATCTTGCACAAAATACATGACTTCGACAATACAAACGATTTACAGGGTTATTCGCTAAACTGAGAATTCAAAGATAATTTAAAATTTAAGGTGAAAATAGCCGACCTGGAAACATACTCAGCTATGCTTTCAGTTTGGTTACTGTCCATTAATAATAACTCTTGACAAATATAACCTCTGTGTATTGTAGTACTATATTTATAAAAGGGACATTTACTTTGGATTCTCACTTTAGAAAATAATCGTGTCAGGTAAGTTTGGAGAATATCCTGTAAAAATTACAGGCTACACACGAGTGGTCCTTTCTGGACTAGACTGGAGAAACCACACATGGGAATGGTTTAGCTGAACTAGACACGAGTGGTCTTCCTGGACTAGACTGGAGAAACCACACATGGGAATGGTTTAGCTGAACTAGACACGAGTGGTCTTCTTGGACTAGATTGAAGAAACTACACATGGGAATGGTTTAGCTGAACTAGACACGAGTAGTCTTCCGGGACTAAACTGGAGAAACCACACATGGGAATGGTTTAGCTGAACTAGACACGAGTAGACTTCCAGGACTAAACCACACATGGGAATGGTTTAGCTGAACTAGACACGAGTGGCATACTAGGACTAAACTGGAGAAACGAGTTGTCTTCTTGGACTAAACTGGAGAAACTACACAAAGATAAAATAAAATCTTAAATAATGGAGACAGTGGTGGAACAAAAATAGAGGGGGCCCTGGTACAAGAATGTTCATCGCAAGAGTGACCAAAAGGCCAAAAGGTGTGTTTGAATGTAAGCATGTTTTTGTATGGAGTATGTGTGTGTGTGTGTAAATATAGGAGTGTATTTGTGTATAGTATTGTGTGTTTTGTGCACTGTTTCCATTAGAAAGCAGTGGTTTACTGTATGTAGTGCTCTTTGTATATAGAGGTGTATATGTAGTGTTGACATTTGAAAACAGCGGTGTATTTGTGTGCAGTGTTGACATTTGAATGCAGCAGTGTATTTGTGTGTAGTTTTGACATTTGAATGCAGCGGTGTATTTGTGTGTAGTGTTGACATTTGAATGCAGCGGTGTATTTGTGTGCAGTGTTGACATTTGAAAAATTCTATATATGTGATATAAATATCTATTAAATAATGTGCCAAATTAATTTATATATCAAGGAAGCTCAGCATGCATGTTTCTAAATTTGACTACACATATGCGGTAAACCTGCTTCTAACAAAAATTCCCCATGGCCAATATTCCATCCTTTGGAAAGCACCGTTGAACCCGAGCCTCTCCCTTTTAATGTCCTCTGTTACCTGTCCATGTTACCTAATCCCTGCCCTCTCCAATTTTCATCTCCCCATCTCTTTTCTTTATATTTCTATAACTATTCTTCCCTCTAGCTTCCTTCTCTAACATAACATTGTGCCATATGTAGATGACAATCTTCCAGCAAACACTTTCTCAAGGAAATATTCCCCTAAAAAATGCACTTCAGTTTTACTTTCGAAGACGTTTACACAATTGGCATACCCAGGTTTTAACAGATCGACGGGCACCCCGACTGGGTACCTCCGTTGAAGGATGCTCATAGCGCTCCAGCATACAGAAAATAGCTCTATTCACACCAACAGTAAAAACACATGAAAATACATAATTCCTATTATACTTAACAGAACCCCCACATTCAACCTGTCCCCAGATAACTTGGATCTGAGCGCTCACTATATCCGAACAGCGCTCAGATTCCACAAACACAGTCAAATCGCCATGGGGTTAAACCATAGCAACAAGTTCCAACTGGGCAGGCAGTGTCCCTGGGACAACGCCCTGCTGGAGAACAATAGACTGGAAACGGGGGAGGGGCACAACTTATGTATTCAAAGGGGTAGAAAAAGTGTTTCAAAGTCCAATAAGCCCAAATAATGTCTTTAAAGGGCAATACATCCGAGGGGCCATAGTCACATGGCAGGAGGCTGGCAATCAGTCTTCTCCAATGCCCAGTGGCGAGGTTGGTTTCGCCACAAAGGTAAACAATTTAGACCAGAGAAACTGGGCAGGCGGGCGGGTGCGAGCCGGCAGTACCTCTGCGACTGGTTACCGCCATCACCATTTGCGGCCCCGGCCCGCGCAGCAAAACTGCCGGGGCCGCCGTCCAAAGAGTCCATCAGGTGGCCCATGCTGTCAGGGCCACCCGATGGATGTGGATTGAAAGGGGTCAGGGAAGCCCATTGTAAGGGTTAGGAGCTTAGGAGTCTCGCCGTCTTCCTTCCACCCTGGATCAACCTCTGATATCCAGGACCATGTGGGAGAGACCTCTCCTTTAGAAGAGCGTAACAGGAACAGCTCTTAAAAGAGCTAAGTGATTAGAGCCCAGGGGAAAACAGGCCTGATTATAATGGTAAATGGTATTATGGTATTATAATGGTAAATAGGCCTGATTATAATTCAAGATCCTTTTACTTTGAAATAGTTAAACATATAAAATGTTGCTTTTGTGGATGGAGACTTTCATACTTAGCTTGAACTATGTCTCATGCCACTTCCTTACAGGTGCAGACTGTATTCTGTTTTTCCTTTTGTAATATATGAGTTTCTCTAAACTGTTACTATTTCTGCTGTTAATGGAAAAGTACCTAACCGCATGTCTGCGCTAAGTCCATGACCCAGACGGTCAGTATTGCAAACTCCATGTGGAGATGATGCTTTCACTTTTGATGCAACAGACCCCCATGATTGGTTGATATTGCCGTTGATGTATTCACTCCTAGACAAACTAAGATGATGTCCTACATTAAACCCTTTGAATGCTTATTGTGTGGTGTGATTCTTTAAGTATTACCAGCAGCTGGAGAGGTTAATGGAAAGCAGAAAGATCTTCGTTGTTATTGCGTAAGGCCATGACAGCATAAGGGTTTCCAGACCCTGTGGTGATCTTCAGCCTAACAAGAGCCTAACACCCATAAATCTGTATTGAGAGGCACATTTCTCTCTCTTGCATCAACAAGGAAACAAAGCCGTACGGAGACCATGGCCAGCTTTTATAAGCCCCCACTGACCCGAAGCCCAAGTTGCTGTACACTGCGTTGAAAACGTTTGCCGAAGCGGAGGAGGACATTAACGAGTTCCTCCAAGATTTCAAAAGACTCTGCTTTCTGCACGAAATTGCTCCCTTTGCTTTTATCCACCTGCTCGCCGGGAAGTTAGCCGGTAAGGCTGCCGACACCCAGGGCCGGTGCAAGGATTTTTGCCACCCTAGGCAAAAAATTTTTTGCTGCCCCTCCCCATATGTCCTGCCCACCATGTGACATCACAATGCCCCGCCCATATGCTCTGCCATATGAGCCAACGCGAGTCTTCACAACGTGTCTTTTATCTGAAAAGACAGTGTGTTTACATTAAAAGCCTACAGGCACAGGCTATAGACACCAGAACCACTACATTATGCTGTAGTGCTTCTGGTGACTATAGTATCCATTTAATGTGAGGTAAATTAGAGATTAGTGCCACTAATAATATATTGGATTGCCTACTTACCACCAGATGAGGACAAGAGGCTGATGATGGGCTCTGTCTGGCTCCACAGGTCTGGTGTAGAAGAGGCTCTCTGGAGACTGTTTTTAACAGTGCTCACAACAATTAACGAACAGGAAGTAGCTCCATTTTTTAGGGCCCCTTACACAGCTCAAGGTCTGGGCCCCCAGGGCTTGACCGTGAGTTTGCCTACAATGCACACCCATAAATCCACCTACATGGCCCACCCATGAGATCTCTCGCAGGAAGTGGAGTGTATGTGTGTAGGGGATGTTTGTATGTGTTATTGTAGAGGATGCAATGTGTGTGTGTGTGTGTGTTCTTATAGAATGTAGTGTATAGGGATACCAATTTCTGTAAGGGATGTAGTGTGTTTATAGGGGATGCAGTGTGTGTTTGTGTGTAAGGAATGCATTGTATGTTTCTGTGTGTGTGTGTGTGTGTGTGTGTGTGTGTGAGAGGGGTGCAAGGTGTGTTTCTGTGTATTTAATTGAATGCAGTGTGTGTCTGTAAGGGGTGCATTGATTGTGTAAGAGATGCATTTTTTTTCTGTGTGTAAGAGAATGAGTGTTTGTGTGAACGTAAGGGATGCATTGTGTGTTTCGGGTGTGTCTGTGTGTGAGTAGGAATGCATTGTATGTTTCTGTGTGTGTCGGGGGCAGCTCTTTATTTTTTAAAAAAAATTTCATAGTGCTCTCCCCTCCTGTCAATTATTGATTTCCCCTTCCCTCCTGTCCCTCCGTGTTCTCCCCTTCTGTCCCTTAGTGCTCTCCCTTGGCCCCCTGTAGTCCCCCTTGGTGGTCTTCTCTCCCAAACCCCTTAGTAGACATTACCCTCCTCCCCCCACCCCCTTAGTGGTAATCTCCCCCCTCAGTGGTCATTATCCTCTTTCTCCCCCCCCCATTAGTGGTCCTTACCCTCCTCCCTCTCCTTAGTGGTCCTCCCTACTTACCGCCTTTGGTTTTCCTTCCCTTAGTGGGTCATCCCTCTCCCAAACCCCTTAGTGGACCTCCCCCCTCGTGGTCCTTACCTCCTCTCTCAGTGGTCCTTACTACCCGCCACCACTCCCCTGTGTTCCTTCACCCCGTTCCCAGTGGTCCTTACTCCCCACCCTTCCTCCCCCAGTGGTTCTCCCCCTTCCTCCCGCGGTGGTCCTTGCCCTCCCCCTGCTGTCCTTACCACCTCCCCCATCCCTGGTGGTCATACCTCCCCGGTGGTCCTTACCTACCCCCCTCCTCTTCCCTCCTTTGTGGTCCATACCCCCTCCTTATAACCCCCCCCTCCCCTTGTGGTCCTTGTGCCCCTCCTGGTGGTCATATTACCCCCCTCCTGGTGGTCACTTACCTCCCCTGTGGTCCTTACCTCCCCCCCTGTGGTCGCCCACCTAACCCCCTGTGGTCGCCTACCCCCTTCCCTTGTGGTCCATGCCCCCCTCCTGGTGGTCCTTGTGCCCCCACCCTTGTGGTCCTGTGCCCCCCTCCCCTGGTGGTCCTTATTACCCCCCTCCCCTGGTGGTCGTTATTACCCCCCCTCCCCTGGTGGTCCTTACCCCCTCCCCTCCCCTGGTGGTCCTCTTCCCTCCTGTCAATGTAGCGTGTACCCGGCCGCCCCTCCTTGTGGTCCTTATTATCCCCCCTCCTGGTGGTCACTTATTACCCCCCCCCCTCCTGGTGGTCCTTATTACCCCCCTCCCCTGGTGGTCGCTTATTATCCCCCCCCTCCTGAGGTGGTCCTTGTACCCCTCTCCCCTGGTGGTCATATTACACCCCCTCCCTGGAGGTCCTTATTACCCCACTCCCTTGTGGTCCTTATTACCCCCCCTCCCCTTGTGGTCATATTATCCCCCTCCCCTGGTGGTCCTTATTACCCCCCCCTCCCTGGTGGTCATATTACCCCCCCCTCCCTTTGTGGTCTTATAACCCCCCCCTCCCCTTGTGGTCCTTATTTCCCCCCTCCTGGTGGTCCTTGTACCCCCCTCCCCTGGTGGGCCTTACCCCCTCCCCTCCCCTGGTGGTCCTTGTCCTCCTCTTCCCTCCTGTCAATGTAGCGTGGCCAGGCGGCGCGGAACATTGAGAGACCGGCATGAGCTCTGCGCTTCCCTCCTGCCGGTCACTCAAATCCGGCCACCCTCCACAGCAGTGCTGCGCTGCCTGAGGCTTGTAAAAGTGCTCAGGCGGCGCAGCACGAGGAGCCGCCCGGCGCAGGGATCCGGCGCCCCCTGCTAAGGTGCGCCCTAGGCAGCTGCCTAGGTCGCCTTACAGGTAGCGCCGGCCCTGCCGACACCTATAGAGCTGTGCCAGCAGATGGGTTGAGGTATTATGACCTGGTAAAGAAGGTTCTACTGGCCAGATATGCGGTGACCCTGGAGGCTTATCACAGGAAGTTTCGGAAGTCCAAAAGGGGGAGCCAAGATTCCCATGCCGAGTGGGCTTGTCGTCAGACCGGGACAGCCCAAAATTGGATGAACTGCCAAGACGCCAAGTCCCCCGAGGCCATCCTACAGCTGTTCCTGCCGGAACAATTCTACAAATGTCTCTCCACTGAGGTGCAAGAATGGGTGAGAGACCGGCAGCCCAAGACCGTCACAGAAGCTACTTCTTGAAACCCTGTGAAGGTGGAGCACATCGATGTCATGTCGGAATGTGATGTGGCGTTGCATGCCTCCATGCACCTCCAGGTACTCCACTGTCCAGTAGCAGCCAATGCAACACTGACCAACACACACACATATTCACTGACAGACAGACACACACACACTGACAGACACACACAATGACAGACACACACAGACATACACACTCACTGACAGACAGGCAGACACTCACTGACACACACACAGACACACACATACTCACTGACAGACACACACATACAGACACACACTCAGACAGACAGACACAAACACACACACACACACACTCACTGACACACACTCACTCATTGACAGACACACACACACTGACAGACACACACACATTTACACATTTTTGCATTCACATACTTTTATTTATTGCTGGTGTGGGCACTCTTCTATCTGGAGCTCAGCCTTCCTGCTCTTCACTGATCCCTCACGCGCAGGTTAGTGATGCCAGGTGCTGGAATATGACATCATATTTTGGCGTCCTGCATCACTACAGACGGCGCGCGCGAGGGAGCAGTGAGGAGAAGGAAGACTGAGCTCCCTTGCTGCTGCCAGGAACCTCTCCTCCCCGGCCGGGTAACTTTTAGCAGAGTAGGCACCTGCAATGTGGAGAAAGCAGGTGCCTAATCTGCTTTGACACTAAGCATGCACTCGTGGGGCCGCAAAGATGTCCATTGTGGGCTGCATGCGGCCTGCGGCCCATGGGTTTGACATGCTTGGTGTAAGGGGTACTGACAGATTCCCCTAGCAGCAGATGCTTTTCCCAAGTCAGCCTTCCTCACCTCATTTGGCTGGACCAATTTAAGGTCATGCCATTTGGATTGAAGAATGCCCCGGCCACTTTCCAGCCCATGGTGGACCAGCTGTTGGATGGTGTAACAGATCACCTGGCACCCCCGACTGGGTACCTCCACTGACGGATGCTTCCTAGCTTACGTCGAGGACTATAAGCACCGCACCGCACCAGACTCCACACCCACAGCAGACTCCACAATCACCATAGCTTAGGAGTCTCGCCGTCTTCCTTCCACCCTGGATCAACCTCTGACATCCAGGACCATGTGGGAGAGACCTCTCCTCCAGGAGAGCGTAACAGGAACAGCTCTTAAAAGAGCTAAGTGATTAGAGCCCAGGGGAGTATACAAAGTATAGCAATCCCCAGTGTTCCCTACAAACACGAGATGAGGCTATGTATTCAGGGTTAAGCAGATCTGCGGGCTTAATGAACAGCTTGGTCTTTTATACACGTTTTCCCACAAGGTTACCACCCATGTGGAACTTGTGGGGCACCGAAAAATACATTCCACAGCCAATAGTGTACAGTCACAAAGGTAAACACTCCCATTCATTTACAGTAAATTCCTCCCGTCTACTTGGGAGATAATTGAGTTAATTAACGAAGACAATGGACTAACTCATTTAACGCTAAGCAGAGAAAAAAACATACATTTTTACAAACCCCCAAAAGTACCCCCAAATACAACATATCCCCACAAATGTCACATCCCCTGATAGCCCCGATCTGGGTGAACAACATATCCAAAAAGCACCCAGATAGGTTCAGAGGTTCAGGAATTTCCTGGAAGTCTTATTTTTGCCCCACCGTGCACATGGTCCCATGCTCAAAACAGTTCCATACACTCGATGACAAAACACTGCTGGACAATTTAAGATGGCCGCCGCCACATGTTTGAATCTGTTCCAGTTAAAAGTTCAAGGGGCAGAAACAGTACTTTTGAACATGGGTTATCACAGGGCCCATAGTCCTAGTGTAGGAGGCTGGTAAACAGGCTCCTCCAAAAACCAGTGGCGAAGTTGCTTTCGTCACAGATGGCCTCCAGGATTATACATGTGCATACTTGGACAATATAGCCATCTACAGTGACACTTAGGAGAAGCACCTGGTACAAGGTAGGAGCCACTGGTGTACATACTGCGGTTGCAGGCCAGGTATGTATGCCAGTTTGCTGGCCACCTCAGGGCCCCCCGAGGCTGGCAGTGCTGTCAGCGGGCAGGCGTGCGAGGGAGCAATATCCCCTGAGCACACTATCTTCAGCTCCCTCGCGCGCACCACAATGATGCTTAAGCTGGAATATAACTCCATTCACGCATCAGTAAGCGGCGCGCGAGGGAGCTGAACAGGAGGATCAGTGGTCCCTCGCCGCCTGCAGGACCGGTCGCCCAGCAGCCCCACTGGACTGAGAAATCTGGAATCCCCTCAGCAATCCCAAAGGTAGGGAGGCTGGGGGATTACATTTGTTTTTTTTTTTAAATGTGAGTGTGTATGTTTGTTAGTGTGTGTGTGTGTGTGTTAGTTTTTGTGTGTCAGTGTGTGTGTGTGTGTGTCTGTTACTGAGTGTGTTAGTTGTGTGTTATTTGTGTGTCTGTTATTGAGTGTGTATCTGCTAGTGAGTGTCAGTTAGTTTGTGTGTCAGTGAGTGTGTTACTGTGTGTGACTGTTATTGAGTCTGTTTGGGAGTGTGTGTTTTTCAGTGAGAGTGTATGTTTTGTAAGTGAGTGTGTATGTGTGTCTGTCTGTCAGTGAGTGTGTATGTATGTCTGTCAGTAAATGTGTGTCCGTTAGCTAGTGTGTATGCATCTGTTCTTGAGAGTGTGCGTAAGGAAACCAAGTATATTTAAACCTCATTCGGTAGTTTCCTCCCGAACCGCCAGAGCCTTAGTGATTATAGCCCTCCGTTCGGTAGATAGGGTAGACGAATCCTATAGCAATTCCAATAGCTTCACGAGATAATTCCCTTAGTGAAACACACGAATCCCCAGACATCAGCCGAAGTCAAGAAGAAGGGTACAAAATGAACTAGAGTGCACACAGGGTGTGCTGGGTGCACACAGCTTTTATGCAAGCCCCCATGCAAGGGGACAGCCCTCAGGGAGGGACAAACATTAACCAATGACATACAGTAAAAACTTTAACACACACCTACAATTCCCTCCCCTAGTCCAGGAGATAATTCAGTCTGATAAAATAGTAACTTAATTATCTCCGGGCTGAAAAATCAAATTTTTCCCCAATATCTAGAACACCCCTTTATACTGGGGGTATCCCCATAAATTATATATATATATATTATATGTCCCCTGATAGCCCTGATCTGGGTGACCAACATATCCGAATTTCACCCAGATCGGTTCAGGGGTTCGCAAAATTTATGGAAGTCTCTTGTGACCAGCTCACCCTGGGCTGTATGCCCAAAACAGTTCCATGACTTTGGTGGGTTTTGCCGGTCACTTTCGAAAAAGCACAGAAACGAATAAAATACTGAATGGATCCCTCTGGCTCCTAGCAGTGTTCGTGCAATTCTGTCGAATACACCAAAGTACCGAATAGCGCTCTTCTAGCTATTCGGTAAATGGAGTTCCAGCGTTTGTCTGTTTGGGACCGGTGTTCGGGAAGTCGAGTGTCCGTTTTTAGTTCCATGCACTCGACAACTAGGTCCCGCTGCCTTTGTTCGCATGAACAAAGATGGCTGTGGTTTTCTCTGCCACGTGGCGTTCGACTGACAAACGCTGGCCGCACATACAGAGGTAGCAATTTCACCCAAACTTTGATGTTTAATGAGCCAGAGGGGTGGTCTTTGTTCGGTAGTTCCATCTACCGAATGCAATAGGTAGAAAGGGAGAAAAAAAGGGAATGCAAGGGGTAAAGAACATAGGAAACAGGGGGTTTCTTCACAGTGTGTGTGTGTGGTTAAAACCCCTTCAGCGCTTACCTTTCTCCAGCACCGGGCTCCCTTGGCGCTGGGCATCTCTCCACTCCAATCAGCCTCTCAGCTCCGAATGCGGATGCGCGGCAAGAGCCGCACGCTCATTCAAACCACCCATAGGAAATCATTACATTATGGACGTAAGGTGTCTTCTCACTGCGATTTTCACAGTGAGAATCGTGGAAGCACCTCTAGCGGCTGTCAGTGAGACAGCCACTAGAGGCTGGATGAACCCTCAGGGGGATGGCAGAAGTGCAGTACCTGGGACACTGGGTAGGGTGTGGGAAGCAGAAGCCCCAGCCAAGATAGAGGCAGTAGCAAACTGTCCCCTATCCCCACACGTCCTAGGGACGGTTGGCTACTATAGGAAGTTTTGTCCCCAACAGGGCCCTAGCTAAGCCCCTCACCGACCAAACCCGAAAGAACTTGCTCTGACAAGTACACTGGACCCCAGAGTGTGAGCAAGCGTTCCAGGCTCTTAAAAGCGCTCTGGTAAAAGCCCCTGTCCTGGCTGCTCCTAATCTGAACAAACATTTTCTTATTCACACAGATGCTTCCATGTTTCGATTGGGGGCAGTGCTGAGCCAGGTCGGCGACGATGGCGGAGAACACCCCTTAGCTTACCTCAGCCGACAACTACTACCCCCAGGGAGGTAAGCTACCCCGCCATCGAGAAGGAATGCCTGGCTGTTGTATGCAGCCCTATATCTATGGCCAACAATTCACACTACTCACAGATCACAACCCATTGGTGTAGCTTAACCAGGTCGCTGGGGACAACGTCAGGCTGTTATGTTGGAGCCTGGCCCTACAACCATATGATTTCACTATCCACTACAGACCCGGTAAGCAAAATGGAAATGCTGACGGGTTGTCAAGACAGACAGAACTGGAACAGTGATCTGCGAGTACTTCCCCGAACATCCCCAAGCCGATCCATTGGAATCAGACTGTGTATGCTGGCTTGAGTTTAAGGGGGAGCTGTGTAGTGGAACCACCGCTAATACATATCCCTTATACTTACACTGTGTGTTTTTCCCATGCCCTTTGTCTATTATACCTGCACCTCTACGAAAGGAACTCCTTTGACTCCCGAACGGAAACCACCCAGATATCCCATTTAGAACGCTAGTAGAACATTCAAGTAGAACTTTCTCACCTCTAGCGTATTTGCAAAACCGCAAGAAAGGCAATTAATGAGTGCTCCCCTGAGTGGCCACCATTTTGTACAGATGAACACCAGCCAGGGAGAGCATTCATGGATTGTTTCCCGACTCACTCGTCTCCTGAATGAGGACCACCCCAGTGCCCATTAGAAAGCTCCCACCAATTAATTGGAACATTCGCACTGGCAACATAAGTGTGCAACCGCAAGGGAAGTAATTGAGTGCTCCCTTTGGGTGGCCTTTTAGAGTTTTACAACTAGTAACTCAGGCAGTCGGGAAGCCAAATCCATGCAGCCATATTTGTTCTGTGATACTGGAACCGCTGCAAACTCCCAACATACTCATCCAGACATTGGCAGAGACAGAGGGTGTAGCCCCCAGACACTTTAGTATGATTGTTCTCCAAATCGTGTAGTATAATGCAAATGATAAGTGTTTGGGGGTTTTTTGCGCACAGCTAAACCCCTTTTTGATACATTAAGCCTCACAAATATACAGATAAACAGGTATATATTTGTATACATCCCATTGTCTGGGAGTCCAATTAGTATGGGACACACCTTTATCTCTTACAGTCACATTTTAGCGCACACACTGACTCACACAAGCTCGCTTACACATAAGCTCACTGACACACACACATGCTCCCTACAGAAAAGCTCACTGATACACACACACATGCTCACTGCAGAAAAGTCTAACTGACACAAATGCTCATTACAGACAAATTTACCAACACACACAAGCATACTACAGACAAGCTCACTGACACACACACAAGCTCATTGACACACACACAAGCTCACCTACACAAGCTCACCTACACACAAGCTCACCTACACACAAACACACACAAGCTCACCAACACACACACACACACACATGCTCACTACAGAAAAGCTCACTGACACACACATGCTCACTACAAACTCACTAACACACAGACTCATGCTCACTACAGAAAAGCTCACCAACACACATGAGCTCACTGACAGACAAGCTCACTGACACATATACACATGCTCACTACAGAAAAGCTAGGTGACACACACAAGCACGCTGTGAGTGTGTATGTGTGTTAGTGTGTATGTGTGTGTGTTAGTTTTTGTGTGTCAGTGTGTGTGTTACTGTGTGTGTGTGTGTGTGTGTGTCTGTTATTGAGTGTGTTAGTTGTGTGTTATTTGTGTGTCTGTTATTGAGTGTGTGTCTGCTAGTGAGTGTCAGTGTGTGTTAGTTTGTGTGTCAGTGAGTGTGTTACTGTGTGTGACTGTTAGTGAGTCTGTTTGGTGTCTGTTAGTGAGTGTGTGTTTTTCAGTGAGAATGTATGTTTTGTAAGTGAGTGTGTATGTGTGTCTGTCTGTCAGTGAGTGTGTATGTATGTCCGTAACTGAGTGTGTGTCTGTCAGTAAAAGCTCACCAACACACACAAGCTCACTGACACATATACACATGCTCACTACAGAAAAGCTAGGTGACACACACAAGCATGCTTACACATAAGCTCACTGACATACACACATGCTCACTACAGACAACCTCGCTAACACGCACATGGTCACAACAAAATCACTGACACACACATACTAGCTCACTCACTATCAGACACACACAAGCTCACACACTATCAAACACACACACACAAGCTCACTCACTATCAGACACAAACACACACACACAAGTTCACTCACTATCAGTTACACACACACACACACACACACACACAAGTTCACTCACTATCAGGCACACACACACACTCACTCACTATCACACACACACACACAAGCTCACTTACCATCAGACACACACACACAAGCTCATTCACTATCACACACACACGCACAAGCTCACTCACTATCAGGCACATACAATCGATCACTGTCATGGGCTGAAGCCTACCTGTCACAGGTTTGCTCTTAAATTAAACTTCACGGCCACATATTAAGCTTAAAGGCACAAAGCCAGTTGTCATCATCCTGAAAACGCCTTTCCTAGGCAGTAGTACTGGTGGCAGTAATGGTAGTAGTGGTGGTAGTGGTGTGGTAGTTTCACATTGTAAGGATGCTCTTACATATTTCATTACACAAGATCGCTGAATCTGGAATAGACGTTTACCTCCCAGCTGAACAAAGAATTGCTGAAGTGTTTGTGTCAACAGCATGTCCTCTTTGTCCCCCCTTCATTCTAAAAACTGCAGATTTCAATATAAACTGTCACCGTTATAGATGAATCTGGTTACACCCTCCTGGCTGTCAATCAGACAATGGGTCCTGTTACTTCCTAGTTTGGCTAGCATATTTGCACTGAACTCAAGGGGCAGCAAATACTCAGAGCACCTGCCTTGTACAGACTTCTCATTGAGCCGCATTGGGAAGCCTGTGATTGGACAGTCACAGAAAGCCTGTGCGGGTTTAGAAGAGGAGGGCTAGCAAAGGCTGCAGACAAGAGATCTGCAGCCTTTACAAGTTGTTTTAAAACATATTCCAATGAAAAAAATGCATAAATAAATGCAAGCATGTTTTTATTGGGAGTATATATGATAAACAGTGATTTGTTATATTTTTGTATTTGGGCAGTGGAGTGTCCATTTAGTCATCCAACACACATTCAAATTATTTCAGAATGGTTTAAAATAAACAATAAATGTAATATGGCAGGACGTATGTCAACTGCCGATCTATGGGATCTAAAATTGCTCTCCAACAATGGCTCCCATCAAACCTGACTGAGACCGTGTGATGTGCCAAGCTGACTTACCTCGGTCATGTCAGCCATCGGTGACTACATATTGACTTAGAGGGTGAACCTGCTTATTTTTAGTTAACTTTTGTACCACAATTAAAATCTTTTTACTCTTCAAAAAGTTAGATATGGTATGTAAACTAAATGTTAAAAAATAACAAGAAACAAAAATGATTAAATCCATTTTAAATCCAGGTTGTAAGACTGCAAACTGTGAAAATGTCCAGAGGGTGTGTGTGAATAATTCCTCCAGGCAGTGTGTGTGTCTCTTTAAGGTTTAAAGCAAACAGTCAGTTAATAGGTTAAAGGATACAGGGAATTAACCCTTACAGGAGAGGACATGTGTTGCCATTCTTTCTGGGTGAAGACCTTGTCAGCTGCTTTTTATTGTGAAAGTGTGCAATAAACAGAACCAAGCTGGGAGAGGTGAGTAATCAGAGAAATGTGAACAGGGTCACTTTAAAACAGACTTTATCTAAGGATTTGGCAATAGCTCCAGGAATCAAGCCAAGAAAACAGATTTTCAATGAACTCAAAGTACTACACCTTGCTGACTCTGGTTACACACAACCCAAGCAAGCTCTGTGATTGGCTCAGGCTTTGTATTCCTGCAAACAGTTCTAAGACCCAGACTATAAATATACTGAAACAAAATGCTACCAGTATCCAAAACAAGGCACCTCTCCTGATCTGAGATCTTCTGCAGGTTAATAATGCCTCAAAAAAGGAACTTTGTGAGCATGTTGCTGAAATCCAGGTTTATCAGTGTCCAGAGCAGCATCCCTCTGTCTACTGTGTCCAACCTCAAGGCTGCAGGGCAAAATGACCCTCATCTAACTTGTCCTCACTCCATGTCTGCACTGCCTGGACCCACAAACTGGCCAGTTTTGGGAAGCTTCATGGACATTCTAAGGAAAGGAGGTCTGCAAAGGCAACATGAAGCATTGGTAAATAATAACATAATATATCATTTACCTTTTATTAACTTATTTTGAATTTGTTTAATAGACAATCAGGGAGAGATTGACTAACTTGTGATAAAGAGTTGAATAGTTCTTAGATACAAATCTTATTGTATTGTAATTTGATTTCCATCTAAAGAATAGGTTTTATAGAATGCATGTATACATTTAGTCTAGAGATTAATATTTTCTAAACATAGAGTTTATTTACTAAACCAGTGAATAAGAGCATCCAAGGAGAAGAGCGAATTCTAGGTCCACATACATTGCAGATTGTTCTATTTCTGCTAAAATGGTCAGATCTATTCGATTCCTATTATAAGCATCCTAGTGCTATGCTTGTGCAATGACCAGGAGAAACTTCTATTCTATCTGCGAACAGTCTAAAAAATACAATATGTTATTTGGATATTTAAAAAAAATTATTAGATTTATAAAATAAAAAAATCTTTTAAAACTTAAATATATATATGGTATATACACTTCCCCCCCCCCCCCTCCAGTTTGTTATTTTTGTGCAATCCTATTATTTAGATCTAGTTTAAATAAATGGTGTGAAATTTTCTGAGGGTTTATCTCCAATGAGATAACATACTGTATACTCTGATAACCTGTTACCCAATGAAGGGCTCTGTCGACTAAACAGTGAGTTTTAATACGGTGTCAAATCAGTTTGTCTAGAATTGGAAAGAAAACTATTGTAGTGTATAAGCTCTAAAGAATGAAAAGGAAACCTAGCAATTGTCTAAACTGATAGAAGTGTAAAAGAATTAAGAAATAAAACCACTCCATGATTTATGTTTTTGGTTGTTTTTGTTTCCCCCAAAAATGTTTAAAAACTCGGTTTGTACAATAAATGGAATCTGCATTCATCACTACTGGTTCTATTTCAGGATCAGAGCGATAAAGAGTCTGTTATCATTTCAGAAATGACTTTGTATCTTTCCTAGTGCCTCTGAAACGAATATCAGGATTTAATGATCTTCATATGAGAACAAGCAATATTGGCAAAAAGTTTTTAAATTTGAGCTATCACCAGATACATTCAGTTAGTTCCTATAGTGATTGCTCCATTTATGGGACTTTGCCCCAGAATTGCAAAAATTAAACTGCAATATCCAACACTCATTATATATAAACCCATAACTTTAAAAAGAGACATTTCTGTAAATGTTTACATATTTTATGCAAACATATTGATCTACTAATTTTGTAATCTGTGTTTTTATTTGATGCATCTGTTTATATCTGCAGAATGAAATCCTTATTGTGTCGCCATGAATATGACTTCAAATTATAATAATGTCTTACTGTATGTACTGCAGGCAGGTTACCACAAGCAGTTTGGTAAAATTTTTCGCATGAAACTCGGATCGTTTGACTCTGTGCATATTGGAGCGCCTTGTCTGCTAGAAGCTCTCTATCGAGAAGAAAGCAGTTACCCACAGAGACTGGAAATCAAACCTTGGAAAGCATACAGGGACTATCGAGATGAAGCTTATGGACTTCTAATACTGCAAGTACATTTTATATCAAAATAATAACATTATTAACTCTTTAATAATATAAACCCACCCAGTGTAACTAACTGTAACCTAACCTACACAGTGCACCTACCGTGTGTGGGAGCCTGGAGTGTCCCTTTAATAATATAAACCCACCCAGTATAACTGTAACCTAACCTACACAGTGCATCTAACGTGTGTGGGAGCCTGGAGTGTCCCTTTAATAATATAAACCCACCCAGTATAACTAACTGTAACCTAACCTACACAGTGCATCTAACGTGTGTGGGAGCCTGGAGTGTCCCTTTAATAATATAAACCCACCCAGTATAACTAACTGTAACCTAACCTACACAGTGCACCTAACGTGTGTGGGAGCCTGGAGTGTCCCTTTAATAATATAAACCCACCCAGTATAACTAACTGTAACCTAACCTACACAGTGCATCTAACGTGTGTGGGAGCCTGGAGTGTCCCTTTAATAATATAAACCCACCCAGTATAACTAACTGTAACCTAACCTACACAGTGCATCTAACGTGTGTGGGAGCCTGGAGTGTCCCTTTAATAATATAAACCCACCCAGTATAACAAACTGTAACCTAACCTACACAGTGCATCTAACGTGTGTGGGAGCTTGGAGTGTCCCTTTAATAATATAAACCCACCCAGTATAACTAACTGTAACCTAACCTACACAGTGCATCTAACGTGTGTGGGAGCCTGGAGTGTCCCTTTAATAATATAAACACACCCAGTATAACTAACTGTAACCTAACCTACACAGTGCATCTAACGTGTGTGGAGCCTGGAGTGTCCCTTTAATAATATAAACCCACCCAGTATAACTAAATGTAACCTAAACTACACACTGCACCTAACGTGTGTGGGAGCCTGGAATGTCCCTTTAATAATATAAACCCACCCAGTATAACTAACTGTAACCTAACCTACACAGTGCACCTAATGTGTGTGGGAGCCTGGAGTGTCCCTTTAATTATATAAACCCACCCAGTATAACTAACTATAACCTAACCTACACAGTGCTAGTAACGTGTGTGGGAGCCTGGAGTGTCCCTTTAATAATATAAACCCACCCAGTATAACTAACTGTAACCTAACCTACACAGTGCATCTAACGTGTGTGGGAGCCTGGAGTGTCCCTTTAATAATATAAACCCACCCAGTATAACTAACTGTAACCTAACCTACACAGTGCATCTAACGTGTGTGGGAGCCTGGAGTGTCCCTTTAATAATATAAACCCACCCAGTATAACTAACTGTAACCTAACCTACACAGTGCATCTAACGTGTGTGGGAGCCTGGAGTGTCCCTTTAATAATATAAACCCACCCAGTATAACTAACTGTAACCTAACCTACACAGTGCATCTAACGTGTGTGGGAGCCTGGAGTGTCCCTTTAATAATATAAACCCACCCAGTATAACTAACTGTAACCTAACCTACACAGTGCACCTAATGTGTGTGGGAGCCTGGAGTGTCCCTTTAATAATATAAACCCACCCAGTATAACTGTAACCTAACCTACACAGTGCATCTAACGTGTGTGGGAGCCTGGAGTGTCCCTTTAATAATATAAACCCACTCAGTATAACTAACTGTAACCTAACCTACACAGTGCATCTAACGTGTGTGGGAGCCTGGAGTGTCCCTTTAATAATATAAACCCACCCAGTATAACTAACTGTAACCTAACCTACACAGTGCATCTAACGTGTGTGGGAGCCTGGAGTGTCCCTTTAATAATATAAACCCACCCAGTATAACTAACTGTAACCTAACCTACACAGTGCATC